AGTTACAGACAGTTGTTAGCCTCCATGTGGGTACTGGGAACCAAGCCTGGGTCCTCTGCAAGAGCAGCCAATGCTCTTAACCACTGAGCCATCTCTCCAGCCCCAAGATTAAAACATTTAACAGAATTGGAATGAAAGCTCTGTAGAAGCCCAACATGCCTCACAATCTGTGGCCCCACAGGCCTGAGATCCTGTAGATCCAAATAGTCCTCCCTCAGTGCTGAGAGGGAGGGGCTGGAGTCCCATTGAGAGATGCATAAAACCTTTAAACCAGCCTCGCAGGCCTTGTAAGGCAGAATCAGGGACCAGGAGCTACCTGTGGGGCCTCTGTAGGCCCTCAAATGACCTTCTATAGGTACCTGCCTGATCACCCTGGATTGCTTCAGGCAGCTTGTTGGAGTCTAACAATTTGAGGTGCAGGTGAGATACCTAGGGCAGGCTTACCTTCTACACAGGATTCTTGGCATCCTCCCCCACTTAGTGTTGTTGATGGAAAAGGGCTGCCCTGCAGGTGAGTTCTGGATCCACCCAAGCCCATGGTCTCCTCAGCTTGAGCACCAGCTTCTGAAGGAGCCGTAACCAGCTAGGCAGTGTAGCCAACTTTGTAGTGGTACTTTGTGATGAGAATGCCTCACCCTCAGCTGGCATGCAGACTGGAGTTAAGACCAGAGGAGCTCCAGTGACAAGGACATCCCTAGATAAACTGTGTGTCACAGGAAGGCCAACAAGAAGGTATTCTCCAGGGAGGGTATGATGGTGTCATGGGAGATGTAAAGATAAGCTCCACAGAGGAGAGCTAAGGTTTGGGGTGTGGTCTGCTGCTGGCCACTCTGCTTCTGATCATCCCTTCTGCCCTAACCTCCAGCTCTGGCCTCTGTTGCTCTAAGAGCCAGAGAAGCTGGCATCACCAGACAACATCCCTTCCTACTCTTAGGTGCCTGTGTCCTCCACCCCTTTTGGCACTGATGAGAAAAGGCCCCGTACCCCCCAGAGGGCTGGGCCCTGGAGAGACATCGGAAAGTTCCAGTGCTATCCTTTTAATCTTTCTGTGCCTTGGTACCCTCATCTGTGAAATGGGAACAATATTACTATGTCACAGAGTTGCTGAGTATTAAGTAAATGATTGGCAGTACCTGGTGCACAAATCTGGAAAAGGAGGATGTGCCTTTTCCCTACCTTCATTTCAGTGCCATTTAAAAATCAGTTGAGTAGCCAGGCGTGGTGGCGCACACCTTTAATCCCAGCACTCAGGAGGCAGAGGCAGGTGGATCTCTATGAGTTTGAGGCCAGCCTGGTCCAAATAGCAAGTTTCATGCCAGCCAGAGCTATACAGCGAAACCAGCCCCCGTCCCCAAAAAAAAAAAAAAAAAATCAGTTGAGTGCCTGTGGCATACAAGATAGTCTTTAAACAAAAGGATAAAACTCATTGCCCACCTCAGGGAGCACCAGTAGTCAGACGGGCAGCATGGTGGAAGTGTCCTCGCTTTAAATCCTAACTCAGCCACTTCTTGCTCGGGTTTTCTCCACATCACCAAGTTCCCGGAGCCTTGGCTTCCTTTGTAAAGAGAGGTGGTGGGAGTTCAAGTTGAATTAGGGCAGGTATAGAGCAGCCAGTGCCTGCACACAAGTGCTTGGTGTGTAGGGTAGACATACAGAGGGTACTCTTAGCTTTCCCATGCCACAGGTACTGTGCGGAGGTCTGCTACAACCCGACGCTGTACCCGGCCCTGCAGCCAAGGTAACAAATTAGTAGTTAATTCTGATGTGTGATGTTCTTTAGGAATGTTACACAGAGAAGAAAAAGAGGGCACCCCAAAAGGCAAATTTGTATATAGGAAGAAACTTAGAGCCCAGCTCTAAAGCAGACAGGGAGGTATCACTGAGCACTGAACTGAGAGTCCAACTGCTGAGTCTCAGGCATCACTTACCCCCCCCCCGCCAGCAGTCATGCTTGGAGCCCCTAGTCCTGCCACATGACAGCCACACCTCTGCCTTTCAAATGGAGAGGCTCAGGAGGGTCCTGTGGTCTTTCCTACAGAAAAGCATCTTGTTGCATTGGACCGAGTGAGCAAGAATCAGGGCCGTCAGCAGAGAGGTGGACCATGAAAGTCCAGGAACAGGCGGCACATGGTGCCCAGGGGGAGAAGGGAGCATATTAGACACCCTCAGCTCCTCATGATGCACTGACCTGTCCCCAGTGCCCTCCTCCCTTTTTGGAGGATGATGCTGGCCATCTCCTCTTGCTGGCTCATCTCACTTGCTCTGCTGCCCCACTTTTGGACACATCCTAGCTCTTGCAGCCCCATCTTTTTGCCTTCATTACATCTCCATCTTCTGTGGCAAGTGCGTGATGCAGAATCCTTCAGCCCCTGCCGGTTTAATTGTTGCAGTTGGCCCTGGGAGAGTGCAGGAAATGAGAGCTCCCACTGCTTGGAGAGGGGGCCAGCACAAAGCTCCACATCCTGCTGGGCTCAGGGCTGCTTGCCTGCTTTGTGTCTGCCTCTGTTTCTCTCCTGTGATTCACCCCCTCATCTCCCTCTCAGGCACCTGCCTGAAAACCATCAGCAGTGAGTGGGGACAAAACCACTTGTCTGGATCACTTCCTTGCAGGGTGGTATGTAGCACGAGGGTAGGCCATGCCTCATCAGTGATAAACAAGAGATGGGAGTCATACCCCAGGCAAGGGACAGGAAAGGGCCAGTGTCTCCACAGAGCCGGGAAGCCAGCAGCCTGGTGGTCCCTCTACTTCCCAACTCTCACAGGGCACCCCAGGAAAGTGCTGCCCCAACAAGCAACCATAGGCCCTTCCTGAACTGCAGCGGATGCCTACAATCCCCTTCTGCAGTTCCGCTCTGCCTGTTCTCAAACAGATGATAACAGCGACAGAGCATATGGCCCCAAAGTCACCCGGCATTCTGGAAAAGTGACACTGTGTTACCCTGGGCTTTGGGGGAGGAGCACACTTCTGCCTTTGTTCTGCAGAAGGGCACAAGGTCACCTCTCCTGATGTCTGGAAAAGAAAGTATACATTGGAATGCAGTAAGGATTTTCTCTATCTAAGCAGTCATCATGAAAACAGACAGACGTGACACAGAAGTCAAGATGGAGTGCCTTTTGCCTCAGACCACACCCAGGCCTGGACCACCCACAGGCACCCGCCAGCCTGGCTTCAAGACCCCTTCCTTGGGGACCTACATTTGTGTCAGGAACCACCCCCCTCCCAACAGAGTGCTATGAGGAATCAGGATACCCAGGTGAGCACTAGGCATAGCTCCATGGCCTTGGGAATCAGCCCTGGGCTGGGTGTCATGCACCCTCTGAGCTCCTCCTTCTGAACCCTGCTGACCTTGTGCAGTGTGTGGCACTTCTGAGCTTCCAGGGACAGTTTCTCTTACCTGGATCAGGAAGTCTGCTTGAAGAAACATGCTGTCAGCCCAGCTTGAGAAGTCCTGGCTAACAGATCCTAACAGATACCCACATCCCTCCTATCCACAGTGGAGAGGTGATGAGTTTACTGCCAGGCATTGTGATCCTTCTAGCACATCCGCAGTGCTTAGCTGGCTACTAGGGCCACAGGTCAACACTAGGTATAGGGGTAAAGCAACTTCAAAGCCCTGAGAACTGTGGGAATTGAGGAGTCTCAGAGAGACTCAGAAAGCAGGAGGAAGCAGGGAAGTAGCCGCTGGATAGGGAGAGAAACAGGAGCTGGGGGTGAGCAGGAGGGAGTGAGCCTCTATCTCCCTGTTTGCCTTTTCACTCCATATGGTTCCTGGGGGCCCCCATTTTCCATGGAGGCTACAAAGCTTCCACCAGGTGCAAACTCCATAGCCCAGAAGCCGCTCAATGAATAGGAGAACGTTTTCTGGCTTCCTTTCACCTCTGCGGCCCCTGCAACCCTGTAGCTGTCCCTGATTTCTCTTGGCCTTCCCTGGAACCCCCAGGAGACCCAGAGATTGTGAGTGTTGATCTTGATGCTTCAGAACAAGCAGGAGGATGCTGGCTAAATATAACTTAACCTGCCTGTGGGCCTAAGTAGGTTAGAACTGGAGATGGACCATGTAGAGACAAAACTGTCCCCTCTGAAGTGCAGCCCTCTGCCCTGAACCACCGCACCCCTCAGGGCATTCCTTACCTACCGTCTTCCTTCCTGGCATGCTATTCCTTCCCTCCATTTGCGCACTCTGATTTATTTACAGGGGAGCTAGAGACAAAGGAGGAGACTAACAGGGATTGACAACACCTCTGACAAGATGATTCTTTGCTCTCTGGGCAGCAACTAGACCGGAAAGCTGGCCACCCAAGGGCCAGGCCTTGGCCTAGCAGCTGTGACATGATATGAGCTGAAAAAGGGCCAGGGAGGGTGTGGGGTTAAGACGGGCTGCACCCTAAGGAGCTTCCTGGAGAAGGGAGCAGAGATATGCCCGCCAGTGGTCCAGACCACAAGCAGATCACAGCCCACCTTAGGCCTTGGCTAGGAAATGGCTTTTTGTGTGTGTCTGTGTCTGTATCTCTAACTGTGTGTGTCTCTGTACATGTAGATCAGTGGACAGTTTTTTCAAGAGTAATTTCTCTCCTTGGAAATTGAAAGGTTGTCAGGGTTGGTGGCAAGTACCTTTACCTGCTGAGCCATCTCATTGGTCTGAGCCTGCCCTCCTTACCCCTCCGGGACTACTCAAAAAAAAAAAGAAATCAGGTCCAGGTTAGATCATACCATGGAATGCATATCAAGGTGCCTGGTCTGTTTGGTGCCTGTTGTCTGTTTATTTGTAACAGGGTCTAATTTAGCTCAGACAAACTGTGGGATGACCTTAAATTTCTCATCCTCCTGCCTCCACTTCCCAAATACTGGGATTACAGTCATACGTCTGGTTTATGCAGTGCTGGGGATGGAACCCAGGGCTGTGTGCATGCTAGGCAAGCACTCTACCAACTGGACCACATCCCCAACACCAGGCCCCAAGTCTGAAGACTTCTTTCACATCTGTTGCTCTTCCCCACAGGGTCACCCATTTATCATGCAGTTCAATGATGGAAACGCCACTGTGGTGTCCATGTGGGTTTGCAGAGTACTGGAGGAGAGGCGGAGCCAGCAGGGACCTCCATGAGACCTCAGCCGGACACTGACATTCCAGGACCAGCCAACCTGTGCAGCCCTCTCCATTTGCTGCCTACACCAGAAGAGCTTTGCTGAGCTCAGCCTGCCCTCACCTTCCACTCTGCCTAGGGCACCCTCAAGAGGCAACCCTCACCCCTGGTCTGGGGGCACTGACTATTGCAGGCAGGTCGGAGGGTAGGAGGGCAGCCAGAAGAGAACCTCCTCTGTCTGCCTCCTTGTGTTTCCCTACTGTTCTTTGCAAATGGTCAGGCCCTTTGAGCAGCACTAATGGGAATAAAAGTATTATTGCTTTGGATGGTATTTGTAGAGTGACTCTGTTGCACACATCCCCACTTGGACAGGGACATGTGTGGCTGGGCCTGTCACTCATACACCTGCAAGACCCGTGTGTTTCCTGTAACTCAAGGATAAGGCCCATGGCCCATACCCATTGACACATGAAAAACTATGACTCAGAGGTGCTTGAACAAAGACCTAGAGCAAAATGTACTGGGCCAGGTCCTGGAGTGGTCGCCCAGACTAGAGTTGGTTGTAGGCGAGCAGCAACATGGCTCTAACACTGATGTGACCCTGTGTGGCCACAGAGGAAACAGGAGATCAAGAACAAGGTGCAAGCAATTCAGAGAGGCCCTTCAAACCCCTTCCCCACACCCAGCCACCAGCTCCTCTACCACAGACTACTTCTTACTGCCTGTGACCCTTCCCACCACTCCTTTCTCTTAAGGCCACTCACAGGTACCTGTCAAGGATTGTGGCCGCCTCCCTTTTACAGAGGATGGATAGAGGTCTAAGTGACATCTCGGCACACTCAAAAGCAAAAGCTTCAGCCCCCATGCAGGCTCTCCCCAAGCTGTTGCCTTGTTTCATTAAGTGACCGAGCTTTCTTCCCAATGCTCAAAAAAGAGTGCTGGAGGGCTTGGCATGTCTCCCCGTCCCTTATTCTCTTCTTCCCTCCACATTTCAGGAATTTTCCTTTTTTCTGTTGGTGGTACTAGGGATGAAACCCAGGCCTGTGCATGTACTAAGCCAGCCTCTTAACCACTGCCACAGCCCTCCTGCAGACTCCCAATCTGACTTTCCCTGCAGGCAGCTCTCCACCTGGCTATTAGGGGAGCCTGTTAGGACACTATGCAGAGCTATCTGACTTCTAGGCCCTCCCAACATACTCTGAACAAGCCAAAGGACCAGGTTCGTGCCTATAAATTCAGAACTCCTGGTGGAGGCAAGACGATCAGGAGTCCAAGGTTATTCTCTACTGCACGGTGAGTTTGAGACCAGCCTGGGCTATGTGAAACTATGTTTCCCAAAAAAAAAAGGCAAAACACAAGGGCTAGAGAGACTCTCAGTGCAGTGGTTAAGAGCACTAGCTGTTCTTGCAGGGGACCTGGGTTTAGTTCCCAGCATGCACATGGTGGCTAACAACCGTTCATAACTCCAGTTCCATGGGATCTGATGCCCTTTTCTGTCCTCTGTGGATATTGCATGACATAGGTGCACTTACGTACATGCAGACAATTCACCCATGCATATAAAAGTAATAAAATATTTTTTTTTAAAAAAAAAAGGGTGCCAGGCGTGGTGACACTCGCCTTTAATCCCAGCACTCGGGAGGCAGAGGCAGGTGGATCTCTGAGTTCAAGGCCAGCCTGGTCTACATATGAGTTCCGGGCCAGCTGGGGCTACACGGAGACCCTGTCTCAAAAAGAAAAAATAAAAAACAAAGATGTTGGGAGATGGACAAAGCACTTGCCACACAAGCATGAGGACCTGAATTTGGATCCCCAGAACTTGCACAAATTATAGGCAGGTGTTGGCAGCCTGCCTATAACCCTGGACTTCAAGAGGTGATGACAGGACCCCCTGGGCAAGCTGGCTAAACAAGTCAAATTGGCCAGGTTCAGGTTTATCAAGAGAGCCTGCCTTCATAAATAAAGTGGAAAGTGATCAAAGAAGACACCTGACATCAACTTCTGACACACATTCATGTGAACAGACATGTATACACACCACACTTTGCATACACAGAAGGGAGGGGAGGAAGCAGGGGAGGGAAGAGAGGGAGGGAGGGAGGGCTAGCAAGCCAAAGATCCAGCCATGGCCTGTGTAAGATCCAGCCATGGCCTGTGTAAGCCTATTCAGTCAGCCTCCCTGTCACTGCCTCCAACCCCCGTTGTCCCCAGGTCTCCTTGTGTTGCAGTGGCCTCTTGTTGCTCCTTGAACTTGCAGGCACACTCCCATCTCAGGCCCACAGCAAAGGCATCTAGCCACCAAAAGTTCATACACCCTCCATAATGTAGCACTACAGCCAGGAAGCTACTGCCCACCAGGAACTACATCTCCCAGCACCCCCTGTTGAATAGGAGCCATGAGACCAGGTTCTCTCAGTGAAATTTGGATAGCCACAAAGCTAAGAATGCCAATCCTACCTGCCTCCATGCTCCTGATAATGGGAAATAGACACTTCTAGTAGTAGGTGGGGGCCTGGAAAGCAGTGGAAGGAGCCCGAATTCCTGAGTCACCAAATGGAGAAGGGATGCCTCTGAGAAACACCTGCAGTGGACTGTCAAGCCTAGACTGTTCTGTTCAGTTTTTTGTTACTAGCAGTAGGCTGTGGACTGCTGCAGACCTTTGTTCCAGTGCCTGGCATTCTCTCCCACCATTGTGCACCAATGGCCCACTTCACCCTGAGATCATCACTCAAATAGCATCTCAGAGAGATGTGCCACCCACATCACTGAAACTGGCAGCCTGCATATTCTTGCTTCCAGGACTCAGCAAGAGCTCCTGCATCAGTAAATAAAGTGGAGAGCAGTCAGGGAAGACACCTGACATCAACTTCTGGCCTCCATATGCATGTGACTCCTAGAACTCAGGATCCCCTAGCCTGTAGCATCTCATTTGTAACTGTGACAAACCAATTGTTTATTTACAACTTCTCCATCTTCCATTACAATGACAGATCCACCAGGGCAAAGACACTAGTCTGCTTTTCACACCATTTCCCAGCTCAAAGAATAGCCTGGCCGAGGAGGTACAAGAGAAATGTTTGTTGGCCAAATGTTCACCATGATGGAGCCATCATTCCCAGCCCATGCTTGTCCAGTGCCCATGAAAGGGACCCAAGGCTTCATCGTTCTTCCAAAACAGAGGTTGACAGAGCTTTAGTGACACCTCAAGGTGCTAGACTACAGCTGCCCTAGGCCTTGGACACTGTCATCTCAGTAAGCTCCCACCATTGCCCAGAGCCTGGAGAGATCACAAAATTGGGTGAGACCTAAACCACACACACACACACACACACACACACACACACACGCACGCACGCACACACGCACGCATGCACGCACACACCCTAGGCCAGTGCTCAGAGCAAGGAGAGCTGTAGGCAATGTGTGGAGAAGAGCACCTGAGAAGAGGTACTCCAATAGAGGGGCACCCTGAGCCTCACCACCCCAAAACCTGAACCAGCTACCACACAAACTTAAAGATCATCCTTATCTGAAAAGGTGTACCAGCAGCTGCCATCCCCCAAATCCCCGTTTAGGAGAAGCAGGATTTTGTTGTCATTGGCTTTGTTTTTCTTGTTGTTGCTGCTGCTGCTGTTTGGGGTTTTTTATTTGTTTTTTGAGACAGGGCTCTCTTGTAGCTTAGGCTGGTCTCAAACTCACTGTGTAGCTGAGGATGACCTTAAACTTCTGATCCTCCTGCCTTCACATCTGGAGTACAACCAGAATGCTAAGATTTACAGGCATGTACCAACACACCTAGCCTTCTGCAGTGCTGGGGATCAATCCCAGGACCTCCTGCATGCTAGGCAAGAGAGTGCTCTACCAAATGAGCTACATCCCCAGACCCCCAATTCAGAAGGAGGGGGGAAAGTGGGTAGGCATCCCAAGCCAGACTCTGTCCTTAGAACTTACTATCACCCTGCTTAACCCCTGTCACAATCCCCAAGGTACTGGTATGATTATTCTGCCCATTTTACAGATGGAGAAGCAGGAGTGTAGAGGCAGAATGACTTGTCCAAGGCCACCCAAGAATTTAGTACCAAATCACTGACACTCAGAGCCACTTTTAACCAGGGTCCCAAGATACACTCCAAAAATACCTCACATGAGCACAAGCATGTACACATGTGCACCCCACACTCCAGCATAAAGGCCCCCAAACTCTGGAATGTAAAGATAGTGTTCCAGTGCCTTTAGGAGTGGGACCCACGATCTACCCTTTCACGGGCTCATTAAGGATGCTGTTCAGAGCACCTCTCATAGGACTGAGAAACTGTTCTAGATAGAGCCTCCAAGCCCCAGAACCTGGGGACCAGCTTCAAGGGTGACCTCATACAGATTCCCTTCTGAACCTCAGGTTCCTCTTGTCAATGCAATGACTGATCCTTTGAGTCCTGGAGCTCCTCCTAGCCCTCGGGTTCCTGAGCAGCTTCTCAGAGCTTGAACCATGGGCCCCTGTGAGCATCCCCAGCACAGAATATGTACCCACCTGCACTCACTCACGCAGTCTGCTCGTAATTTTAGGATTCATGAGGCCCTGGAACCCACTCCTTATGATTCCACATTTTGGGTGAGCCCCCACAAATACAAAATGGAGTCAGGAAGATGGGGAGCTGGGGTACTCCTGAGGGGTTCCCTTATAAAGACCCCTTGGCTGGAGCCAGGACCCTCTTCACCTGCCCAAGCTCACCACCCAAAGCCAAACTGCCGTTCCTGTCAGAGAGGGCAGGAGAGCAGACACCTAGAACACAGACCTAGAAAGGAATGCTTCCCCACTGCCTGGGATCCGAATGCCACCCCACCCACATTACCCTCCCATGGAACCCAGGGCACATCTTTAGACAGCTTCTTTATCCCCTCCTCTGAGATCAGATAGCCCCTAGAGGCTCATCTCTGCCCTCAGGGACTGGCCCAAGGCTAGTCCAGCTGAGATGTGGGAGGGAGGATTAGATGAAGGGACAGAGCCTGCAGACCTGCGCCCTTGATCCCTCTGCTGTCACTGTCTTGATTCAACCTCCTGTTCCTGCCTTGGGAAGACTCAGTTACCTTCCTAGAGACAGGCTCCTCATGGCCATAGCCTGAGGCCTCTCAGGCCCTCAAGACACCCTGCTTCTGGAGCAGAAGAGGTCTTGTAGGGCCCCTCCTCTGCATCTGAGGCCCTTAGGGATCAAGATGTCCTATCAGCACCTAGCCTTCTGTCCCTTCCAGCTTCTGTCTTTGATTTCCTGTCTGGAAATGGTCTACTGAATCCCAGGGCTGTGGAGATCTAAGAGAAGGGAATGGAGTG